ATACATTAAGAGGCATCACATATACTTCAGTTAACAGCTTGGCATTGAAATTTGGTGACTTCTCTCTGCTTCTGTTTCTGTATCTGTTCATGGGGACATAATACATATCAAATAGTATTATGAAGCTAATGAAGCCTTTAAGTAAATAAGATAATACTGGTAAAGAAAGCACCAAACATGAGGTCTGGAACACTGTGAGTACCAAAAAAAGACTTCATTATCATTTTTATTTGATATTCAACTCTTAGAGCTGCTGAAATTCCTAGGCACATGGGAAGGTTCAGCAACAATAAAATAACTAATTTTATAAGTCATTTGGCACAAAAGTTGTGGAATCTATTTTAACTGTGAGAAATGATGAAAAATGAATTCTTCCAGCAATTTTTAAGATAAGTCTGAAATATTATAATATTCCATGTGCAGAATATTTTTGGTTGCTGCATCTGGTCTTCTTATTTCTAGGCTTTCATTGCCCCAAGTTACAGGTAGAATGTTTCACTAAAAACATAAATTATTTGGCCATTTATGAAACTTTTATTTTTGATAAAACTTTTTAATACTTTTAAGATAATTATCCATTAAAAATTAAAATGAAAATAAAATGAAGTATGTGAATAACCTAGCATCCATATTCACTTGCATAATTTCTCTTTTTCTTAATTTGTATTTTAACTCTGAATCAAGGCATTCAGTAGGAAAGTAGGTAGGTGCATGACAGTTCTAAATATGAAGCCATACTCATTACAAACATCATCAATGTTTGATATTCTCATCCTCTTACTAAAGAAGACTGATTTCGATTCCTGTGTATTTGTTCTGATTACTATATAACAACTATATAGGAATCAAAAACAAAAGTAAGTCAGGATCTAGTGTTTGTAATTTTCAGAAGCTTTATACAATTCTGGAACTGGGAAACAAAAACAATCTTAACTGAGGTGAGGCATATACATTATGAGACAGAATAAAAGAATGAGATGACATAAAATAAAAATTGTAAGTTGTGAAAAGTATCATGAAGGAAACAGCAGGAACAGGGACAGGAAATTTGCTGGTGATTATATTGGTGGAAGGTCTTTTAAGGAAGACCTCACTGGGGAAGAGATATTTAAATCTAGATTGATAGCCTTCCCGTGAACTTGTAGCGCTTTTTTTTTTTTTTCTTTTTCTTTTTTTCTGAGACGGAGTTTCACTCATGTTACCCAGGCTGGAGTGCAATGGCGCAATCTCGGCTCACCGCAACCTCCGCCTCCTGGGTTCAGGCAATTCTCCTGCCTCAGCCTCCTGTGTAGCTGGGATTACAGGCACGCACCACCATGCCCAGCTAATTTTTTGTATTTTTGGTAGAGACGGGGTTTCACCATGTTGACCAGGATGGTCTCGATCTCTTGACCTCGTGATCCACCTGCCTCGGCCTCCCAAAGTGCTGGGATTACAGGCTTGAGCCACCGCGCCCGGCTGTAGCGCTATTTTTTACATCACCGAGGCGCTTGTGACAAGGGCAGAACCCAGGCCCTTCAGGTTCCAGACCTACTGGATCAGAATCTGCCTTTTAAACAAAATTCCCAGATAATTTGGATGCTTACTGAAGTTTAAGAGTATGGACCTAGAGGATGTGAAGTAGTCAGCCTTATGAAGAATAGGAAAGGAATATTTTTGGTAGAAGTAACAACAAATAAAAAAGCCATGGGACAGAGAAAAGCCTGGCTTATTGGAGGCCCAGCAGAAGGGCCAGTATGGTTGAAGTGTAGTGAACAAGAAGAGTGGTAAGATTATTGAATGGTAGATGTGATTACAGTTATGTGTCACTTAATGACTGGGATAAATTCTGATAAATATATCGTTAGGTGATTTCATTATCGTGTGACCATTACAGATGTACGTACACAAACCTAGATGGTGTAATCTATTACACGCCTATGTTTTATGATATAGCCTATTGTTTCTAGGCTACAAAACTATACAACATGATGTGATTGCACTGAATACTGTAAGCAGTTATAACACAATAGTATGTATTTGTGTATCTAAACATAGAAAAGATACAGCAAAATTACAGTATTATAATCTTATGGGAATACAGTCCTACATGTGGTATACTACTGGCATCACTGTACTATCATTATCATCAGGTCTGTATAAGCTGTTTATATATTTTATAATAACATTTCTTAACTTTGTAGCATGAATTTTTTGTTATATTCTGGCAAAGTTTCCCCAGTAATTAGTAGGAAAGTCCTATAGCAAAGACCCCTATACATTTGTGTTCTCAAAGGCAAATAGGGTGGGAATTGAAAGTACTCCCCTACTCCAAAGCCATTATTGAGTAAAGAGTCCAGAACTAGAGTGGATGGCAGCAGCTTTCTGGGCTCCCAGGGCCTACAGTGAGGAGAGCACAATGTGCCAGTAAGTCTGGAAATGGAACGGGAGCTGCACAGAAGACCTGGGCCTATGGTTTCACGCCTTTGGATACCCTATTTCTCAAGTAGTTACATCCCTACTACAGATGATTTCAAAAAATAATTTCTGGAAGATATACATCCCAAATTTTGTCTACTTTTTCTTTTATAAATTATAGTTCCACATCTCTCATGCTGGTTGCCCTCTTGTCAATTCATATAGATGATGTCCAGAACTGACAGAATCAGAAGTGTCAGAGAACACCTGAACTATTAGTACCTATTAATTTTGAGTGGACACTTCTGTCTACCAAGCTAATGCTTCAGTGGTTTTCTGGACAATTCCATTGTTATATTGGCTAATATTGAGTATGGCCAATCAAAGCACTGATTTCTCCCTACTCCCTAAGAATCTCTACTAAGTTCTACTGGGTTTTTCAACAAAGCACCCACCCTGTCCAGCTCTTTTGAAACATTGCTTCTGCCATCCAACATAAGCATTTTTTCTGGCTTTGTGGCATCTGAAATTTAATGAGAATGAGCAGCTTTCAACAAGAAGCTTCACTATTATGCCTTCTCAGTGTTCATAGATGCTCTAATTCTCAGTCATTCACCCTGCTTTTCTGGAATAAGCCTGTTGTCCGAGAAACTGAAGGCTGCTGACAGCCAACTGATATTTCTAAATCTGTTCCTTTTGAATATAGTATTATAAAAGCTTATACCAAGTCACTATTTAAACAGCTCAGTTTTCTCCACATTTATAATTCAACTACCAGGAAGATTTCAAAGGGCATGACTAAATGCTAGTGGTAACATAAGAACTAAGACGTAGTTTAGGTTATGTGTACAGAGCCAGGCTGCAAGCCCCACTTGGCTGCTGGGAAGGAGACAGAGTTAGACCTGCAGGTTGCCTGTTCCTGAGGCAAAGTCTGGCATGAGGTACTGCTGGTGAAGGTCGGAGGCAGAAACTCACTTTGGGGTGTGATAGGAGCTCAAGGCACGCATGTACCCAGTGTTGGTGATGGGCTAAAACCAGACTCCAGAAAAAGCTGGGATCGCCTCACCTAGGGGGTCAAGAGGCCAAAATTCTGGCTGAAAATTACCAGCAAAGCTAGTTCTCAAGATGACCAAAGTCAGGGTTCCACTTTCTACTGTAAAAGCTACCTTTCTTTGTCTATTTGTAGACTATGGATGCTCTTTAATTTGCCTTCAAAGAGCCAGGGTAATTAGTTTTATAAAAAATATGAACATAAGTGGCAAATATCAATCATGACATTAGTAGGAATAAAAGAAGTTGAATTCAGTTTCCTGTGAGTATTGATCCAAAGAAGAAAGATTAGTGCCTATTTTAGTGCCTGCTTTTTAAAAAGCATTGGGTTGATAAAGATAATTACTTTTGTGTATCCCTAAAGTTAAGTTCTCTGTGTTCTATACTGGAGAAAATGCAAATAACTGTAGAGAGAAACATATTGTATGGTGAGGGCATTTGAGCATAAAAAAATGGCTGAGACTTTTACTCCTCTTCAAAGTTTGAACATCTGAGCTTAAATTCTAGCAACTTGTTCCACTATATAGAAGTGAAGCTTTCTAGATCAGGGACTACATGCTGACTTGGCGGGTGATGAGGGGATGATGGGGAGAAGGATCGGGGGATAGGTGACAGACATGTTCAATGTCTTCATTGAGGTGGTGATAATTTCAAGGCTTCTTTATGTCCAAACTTATCAAATTATAGACTTTAAACGTGCAGTTTTTTGTATGTCAATTATACTTAATGATGACTATTTAAAAAATGAAGACTTTCCCCTCCTAGGTATACCAAATTTGTTAAATTAAGGATTTATATGATTCTTCATGCTAAGATGTAGGGCAAGGTTTCAATAAAATGCCCTTATATAATTTCAGAATGAAGACAGCCTCTATTGATTTCTCACTTTACACAGATTATAAACAAAAGCACTTCAGTGGAACATTGATAATAATAGAGAGTTCTAAAAGAATTGTAAATCAAATGTTAATGACAATATAAAATTAGAAATAAATTGTTATCAAATAAATGGAGTACATTTTATTTTTAAAAGGCAATGTTAGACTTTCATCTTGAAGTTTTAAAAAATGCTAGCTAAAGCAGATGCTTTTCTCTTTAGCTTCTAAAAATACATTAAGATTCTATAAATATCGAATGTTACTAATAATGTAGTGGTAACATACACATATTGCAGAGACTTATAAAAATTGGTTTGATTTTGCAAGAGATAGTCAAGTGAACTCAAAATGGCTACTCATTCAAAAACCACAAACTAATAATATCTGAAAAATACCAGCAAGAGTATAATTGGAGGTCTGGGTAATCATTTTGCTTGTGAAAGTTTCATGAGTAAATATTTCTCATGAATTATATAGCTGGATGTCAATGCAATGTTTAGACATAAAATTAAATTAAGATATATACAAATATATATAAATATGGTTTAAAATAAGCTGACAGATGAACAGGATTATTGGTATCTTTAGTAGAAAACATTTTGAAGTAGAAAACTCAATATATCCTTTAGTTTCTGGCTTTAGAGAGGCTAACTGGTATGAAAAGTTGGCACTTACTTTCCGATTGTATTGGGTAGTATTGTAAGTTGATTGTCATCTACTTTTAGAGTAGTTAGTTTTTTCAAAAGTCCTAAAACAGAGAAGAAGGTTGATTAATACATAAGAGCAGATTTATGACAGGAAATGTGATATAAATGAAATCAAATGAATCACTTGTGATGAATGCTTGGCATGCTAATTGGCTACACTCTGCTAACACACACTCATAAAACTGATGTTTGTGTGTAGTCTAATTTTGACTTTCTAGTTGCAAAAGAATTTCTTACATCAATGACAGTTCAAGAATATCAATGCAGAAAAATAAACAAAACATACAGCTTCACATACACCCCAGTTGACACTAATAATACTACATTTCCCTTTTGTATTCTTCAGCAAATGGACCAGTTGAAATTTTTCAAGCCAGCTGTGATTTAATATTTAATTAACTCCTAAGCAGTAATAACTAACATCCTGTTGTGATACAAATTGAAAACAAATTTGAATTAAGGCCAATAATCAACAAAAATGAATACTGAGGTATTGTGATGCAGGGGTTATAATTATGTTCTTGGAAATTTACAACATATGACCTCATATTCTTTTTGGCACCGTAAATCCTGACTTGGATCAGCAGTAAGTACAAACTCTTAGAACTGGCCAAGAATTTAAGTTACAACTATTTATCTTTCACTATCTGATTTATGGCCTCCATACCCTTACGGCTTGCTCTCTTCCGAGGGTTTTAATGAGCAATAGCCACACATTAATTGAAGAACAGCTGCATTTGGCATAATCAACTTCCTTATCCAACCATAAAATAACCTACAGTATTGATATGGTTTAAATAGACCAAATCCAAGGGCAAAGCTTTAATATTTAACAAATTTTGTTTTATATTGTTCTATGAATGTACACTATAGATTACTGCATTCTGCAAACAATCATTCTAATTAACATAGTTGCATGGTCAAATATGTTTTGAGACATGCCAAATTAAACAAAATTAAATAGCTTTCTTTAATAGTTTTTCTGGAAGCATTTAATATACTAATGTGACTCTCTAGAGTTGTTATGGAATTCGTGTGTGTGGGGTGGTGGGGTGATGCAGAGTATGTTGTCAAACTAGCATTTTGTGAACATGCTTTGAGAAACTGGCTATAGATCATGCCCATATTTCTCAAGTATTTTGAGGGTTCCTTAAAGGCATACAGTAAGTCACAGAAAAATCTGAAATAAAGCTGTGACTGCACTTCACATTTCAGTATGCTCAGTTACATATTCTTCAGAAGCACTCAGAATCTCTACTGCAGTGGAAAGAAATGTTGTCACTATCAGGCTATTATAAGTAAATATCTGGGAGCTGAATACATCTGCTTGAAAACAACATCACCTGGGTAAGGGACAATTCACACTGCGGCAATTTATCACTGAAGTTTGAGCATCCACTGCCACATCCATCTATGTTCAAAAGGTGATTGAATCATTTTAGCTTCTTTAGAGCTTATGTTAAAATATCAGCCTTGGAAATATAAGAGAACACCTGAGCTTGTTTTTCAGTTGTGGAAAGAAAACAGGAAAGTATAAATCATAGCTAAGATTTCTGTGACTTGGTAGCCTGGATCAGACGAGTGCACCCGTCTGCTAGTGGAGCTGGAGGTGGGCTGATGGTCTCAAGATCACTCAGTTGGGTCACAAGAAGTTCGGGGGTGGGTTACAGATGGCTGAACAAACATCACAAAGTCAGGGTACAAAGTACTTTCAGAGGATCATGGTCTATAAGTCTGAAGTAATAGAGAGAAAACCTTGAGGCAGACTGGGGCCTAAGGCTTAATGCTGATGGGACAGATTTTCCTGAAGACTAGAGTAGTGGCTCTCACAAGAAGCTTCTGTTAAGTGCATCTTTTTCAATATTTTTAAAGGTTGAAGCAATTTAGGCCTTCCTACTCAGCCCTAAGTCTGTGAGTTTAAAGGAAGCTCGCTCACTTGTGATGCGGTTACTTTACCAACACTTATATTCCATCCAAGAGGATACTCTTTGGACAGAGACTGAAGCTTCTGTAGAATTATGATTGCCCCTAAAATAAAATTAGGCCACAAGCCTCACCCTTGTTGCTCATGTCTTCCTCTGGCAGATAATTTCTTTATTGCATTTCTATATCATACATGCTTGGACTCTTTTCTCTAGAGCAATCAAAGCTATTTTATATTCCTTCTCTCTACTTGTACCCTTCTGCAAGACTCCATCTCTTCATCCTACACTCCCAACTAAGAAATACTGAAGAGATAGAAAAAGGCCATTTCCTACAATTTTAACTACATACACATATATACGATCAGCATCAATAAATTAAACATTAATATAATTTGCTAATATTTACATTAACAAATATATAATAGAACTTTGAAAGTAAATAGTTGTGCACTCATCAAATCTAAGATTATAATAAATATGTTATTATAATAGTCATTTATTATATGTCAGGTACTAGTCTAAGCAATTTAAAATATATTAATTAATTTATTCCTCAAAATAATCCCATGATGCAAGTACTATTACTGCTCTCACTTAATAGATGATGAAACTGGGGCAAGATCAAGTAACTTGTCTAAGGTCACACTGGAAAAGCCAGAATCCGAACTCTAAGTAATCTATCTATAAAGCCTGTGCCCTTGACTTCTAAGGGAGGAAGATAAATTATTTTGGAAAGCAAAAAACTGTGTTTTTCTTTATTGAGTTTCTCTGCTATCCAAAGAAGCTGATTATTAAAATTCTCTATCTGGAAGAGGAAAAGATTCCCCTTAATTTTCCCTGGAATCAGCACAGGAAAAGTGATTCAGCACACAGGGCTTGTTGTTGAGTATATCACTCCATTCAAATACCCCACAGCTGCAGAGGAACTCAAACAGGCATGGAGAAAGTAAAGATTTTATTTTATTTCCCTCTATTAATACTATGAAGACTCTTATCTTTTATTCTTTTTCTTTAGCTTTTTTTTTTAATTTACAAGGATATTTTTAATAGGTATTTTCATGTAATATATGGATTATACATAATATGCTTGTTGCTTTTTTTTTTTTAAATTGTACTTTGGGCTCTGGGGTACATGTGCACATCCTGCATCCTGTAAGAACTGAACTTAACAGCTGCTGTTTGTGGTTTGTAGCCCATCGGTCCTGAGGTTATTGCTGGATTTCCATTCTATCTCAGGTTTATGTTGATGGTCATTCTTCTTAAGCAAAAATAATTTTTCTTTTTAAAAATAAAAAAAAAATTTTTTTTCAGACATGGAGTTTTGCTATGTTGCCTAGTCTGGAGTCTTAACTCCTGGGCTCAGGCAATCCTCTTGTCTCAACCTGTTGAGTAACTGGGACTATGGGCACATGCCACCATGCCTGGTTAGCATGGCTAAATTATTTTATATACTAAGTGCTCAAACAGCACATAGAATATGCCAGGCACAATTCTTGGCACTTCATTTTCTACCACTTTTTTATTTTTTGGAGATAAGGTCTCATTCTGTCACCCAGTTTGGAGTGCAGTGGTGCTATCATAGTTCACTGCAACCTCTGAACTCCTGGGCTCAAGCAATCCTATGCCTCGGCTTCATGAGTAGCTGGGACTGTAAGTGTGTGGCACTGTGCCTGGTTAATTTTTTAATTTTTTGTAGAACTGGGGACTGCTATGTAGCCTAGCCTGGTCATGAACTCTATTGCCTTTGTAAAATCAAACTTTCTGTATTTTGTTTTAGATGTGTCTCATAACCACAATATAGCTGAACTTGAAATTCTGGATCTTTTAATAGAATAAGTTTAATCCATTAAATCGATTACATTTGTTGTGATTTATGACAATTTGAATTTATTTTTACCATCTTATTTTAAAATTTCTATCATTTTTTACATTTCATTTTTTTTCTTCTACTGTATGAATATTTTCTTTCATATCTTTTTGCCTCTTCTGCTGGTTTGGAAGTATCATTTATTTCTAGTAAGTAGATATATTTAAATTTTTAACATGTCTATTTAACTTAATATTTCATGCAAATTCTAAAGTTATGCAGTATTTCTAGCCTCTGCTTGAATGAGATGAGGTCCTTCACATTCCTTAATCCTATCTAACATTGCTCTCCCCAGTTTTTCATTTCAGCATTCTAAAAATAAAAGACTCCTCTTTTACAGGCACTAATTATTTAGATATAACAACTTAATTTACCAAATTAAGTTGGTAAATTAAATTACTTAACTTACCAAATTGAGTTGGTAAATTTGGTAAAGCTTGCCATTGCTTTATGCATTCACTTTCTTCCTTCTGAGTTTGTTTTTGTTTTCTGAGTAAAGTACATTTTTGAAGAGCAGATTCTCTTATTCTCGGTATACGTTCAAATATATTTGTTGTATACTCACTCTTGAATGAATGTTTAGCTGAGTATAGAAATCCAGTCTGCCTTTCTTGGCACTGAGTCAGTAATGAAGAAAAATACGTTCTTTGAATATACATAGTTTTTATATCCTCATGATGTATTTAAAATGGTATGGAATGGTGGTTGAGTAGGGGTGTAAGGTTATGCAGTAAGTTGCTCTGTCATCTTGACCAGTGGATGTTCTCTATAATCATACTTCCTTACTTGCTACATCATAAACCATTATTTCCTAAATTTGTCTGATCACAAGTTTCATCTATGATATTTAATAAAAATACAAATCAGGGGGCTTGCCACAGTTACTGAATCAGAATTTTAAGAGACAAAGCCTAGAAATGTGGAAGTGTTTAATAAAAGTCTCAGTTAAGACCCATGATTGAGCAAGTTGGAGAAATACCATTATAAAATACGTGATTATGTAAATAAAAGTCAACAATTCTAGAAAGAAAGAAAAGATGGACCACAATTTTGCTAAAACTAATGCTCTTTATAAGCCTCAAAGAATGGCTAAGTAGAGACAGAAAACTTGGAAAACTGCCGTCTCTTCAACTAGATTACCTAGGATATGACTTAATTTTTAAAAGTTATACATTCTGGAACTTAATAATGATTAAAAATTTACAACTAGTATGTGGAGCTAGGGAAAAGGGAAACAGAAAATTCACTGCGGAAAACTATGGTAATTACAAGCTGGCTTGGACTGGATCTGCAGCATCCACAAAGGATAAGAGCACCACATTGCTAATATAAGACAGATTCTGAACTTCAGTCAATCTTAATAATGATCAAGTTCCAGAACATATAGCACATCTGTTTCAAAGAGGGTAAAATCTATGCTACAAAGTTAAGTAATGGAATGATTACCCTTTTAGTTGAATTCTCTTACAAATTCTAACTGCAAGATACCTATACAAAAAAGCTTACTCATTCTTTAAATGAGTCTTTCACTATTTACTCATATAAACATTCTTAAACAAAAATGTATGAGTGCTTTTTATATACTAACAGGTAAATTATAGGCTCTAATACATTTTAACATGTTAAGGACATGTGTCTTTTTTTTTTGAGATGGAATCTCACTCTGTTGCCTGGGCTGGAGTTCAAAGGCGCGACCTCAGCTCGCTGCAACCTCTGCCTCCCAGGTTCTCCTGCCTCAGCCACCTGAGTAGCTGGGATTACAGGTGCGCACCACCACGCCTGGCTAATTTTTTTTTGTAT